CAAGACACCCTGAAATAACGTGCTATAGCGCGAAACCGCGACGCAACCGCTCACACGTAGGGTTTGTCTGATTATGTTGTTTAAGTTCTTCTCTTTTATAATCCAACACACCTTCAAAGCTATGCTTTCATTTTAGCCGGTTCCTTGCAGCAGTTGCGCTATCGCAGCCCCGCCCCTTTTAACGTGCTGCGCGGTGAGCCTCTACCATTTCTCTGTTCGCTCTTTTTTCTTTTGATGCAATGTACAGGTCATATGAGTTTCCGACTTTTCCAAATCTCAGTACTTCGTTAAAGTAGGGGCCCAATATGAATAGCTTCCTAGTTGGCGCAAAGGTATCATTCATGCTTCGCGTTGGCTGGTATGCGACGGGCGAATGGTAACCTTCGTCTACGTTGGTGTCGATCGATACATCTCATTGGCGACAGCTCATGCTATTCATACTCATTGGGTTTTCATGCCTTCAATAGCTCAAACACGTTTGATCTGACTTTTTAAAAACCACTAAGAAACTAATACAATGCGGTGGTCAGTTCATATACGAAAAGAAACGGAGCAAAAAAGAAATGTTCAAGGTTCTTGAAATCGTGAAAACTTAGCATTTAATATGAGTTACCGATCAAATTGTGTATCAGTCGTAGAGATGCCGACGCGTGTCGCATGCCGCTTCATAGCTCGTTGCCTGTCGCCCATCTGTGAACGCAAAGTATGGATCTGTATGTGACTGTGCTCTCATTGCAAGCCGGAGGGCTCCATTACACTTCATTAGTACCCAGATTCAGAAGGAGTGATAAGAAACTACGTGAATATCCTTTCCACTGTGACATTGATCATTTAGTCATTCAAGGCGAAATTCCAAATGTAGAAGTTAGCCTTAGTCGGGAAAATAGTGGTACGGGACGCTGGCGTCTTTTCGGCAGCCGATTGATAGCCCGCAAATTGAACACGGTTTCTGCGTTCAGCAACTCCCATTTGCGTAAAGTTCATGTTTTGTCTCGCTCTTTTTCTTACTCTAATTGGTTACAGTTTTGACGTTGACTACATAGTTTTCATAAAATCCTTTCTTGTAGCTTTTGAATATTGGCTGCTAATGTTGATGATAATGGTTTTTACTTCAGAGCTACGTCGTTGGTGGTCATTCCTGTGACCCCTGATAAGTTTCACGCCTCATTAGCCAGTTTTCATCATTTCAAATGTTTAAAAGGCCATTAAAGCAAAAAAAGCAGGTGCATTTATACTAAGAGCGTTTTTCGGTTGGCGTTAGCGTCCGTGGCTGCTTTCATACTTCGACTTGCGCGCCGGCACGCAGTTGGAGACGGCCGTACATTTAGAAAGCGGCTTGCGAGAGGCTATGCGACGGCGGCCCTATCCAGGCGTGTGACAGCAGCGGGTACCGATCGATACCGCAAATCGATGATGGCTGCTGTCACACGCTTGGACAGGGTCGCAGTTGCATAGCCGCTCGCACGCCGCTTCCTAAATGTACGACCGTCTCCAACTGCGTGCCGGCGCGCAAGTCGAAGTATGAAAGCAGCCGATCACGTACTGATGCCAAGAAATAATGCGCTCGCGCGAGAGATTCGCAGGCGGCTGGACAGAGACAGACGCACAATCGTAGGTCTGGCGGCAACGCCCGCTTCGATAGTATCAACGCAACCTGTGGCAGTGAAGTAATTAGATTCAGCTTCTAAGAGGAAAAGTAGCCGAATCTTCGAACTATGACGACACTTGGAAAGGTTTTCAGCCAGGGGAAAAGAAGAAAAATAGTTTTTTGACTGAGCCTTAGCAGTGGCGGAGCACCTGGGTAGGTGCGATGGTAAACGCGTGTTAAAGCTGAAATCGGGGTACTAAGTGGGTTGGGGGGACCACGCGGCGCGGCACCCTGCGCTCTCCAGCGAGATAGTAGAGAAGAAAGCCCGAAACGGTGCTTAGGGACGTTTCATAGTTTTTTATGTTGGAACTGTGTATTTTTCACCTAATTTTAGGAA